GGGGGGAAAGGAAAAGAAATACTCGAGGAAATCGAGAGAGGATGAGAAAAGAAAAAGAGCTAGCTGACTGTCCACTGGATGGATGGATGGCAGAAGCTCTGCGTCCGTTTTGATTATTATTTTCCCTCGGTTTGCCTCTCCGGCTCTCGTGAGCAGGCCGTGTATTTTTTATAACGCCGCATCTCCCTGGGCCTTTTCTACCTAGCAGGTACTTAGCAGCTACTCCGGCCGCTACTAAGCTCCCTTCTGCTTGGTTAAGTGGTAATAATGATAAATTGGATCAGACAAGAGCTGGTGGAGCTCGCACTTGGCCCGTAACCCACCGGGGCTAGCTTTCCCTGGGCCACTACGGAGTACAGTCCCCTGTTCGACTAACTCTCTATCTACTATCGCAGCGTAGTCAATCCTAAATACCCCTACCCCGGAAAGATCGGGTTATACCAGTAGTCGGATGTCGACACAAGCAGAGGGACCTCCCCCCAGTCCCGAACTAAAATTAAAAGACGGAGGACAAAAGAAAGAAAGGAAACCCCTCCGATCAGGTTCGTAGAGGAGGGGGGAAAAGGGAAATTAGACCACCGTTTTTTATTTTTTTTAGTTTATTTTTATTTTTCTGTGAATGTTATTTTTCACCCTCGTTACTGAACCTGGGTGAATATGTTTTCCCCTGGAAGGGTCAGGAGGAACAAACCGGTATCAAACGAGAGAGGAGACCCAAGTACTAGGTACAACCGGGCACCAAGCAGCAGCACTTAATTTAGGATCCCCTAAAACTGACAGTCCCGCTGTCGATGCGATTTGCCTGGGGGTGGGAAAAAGAAGTTGGGACTAGCAATCCCAGGACAAAGTTACCCAAGACCAAGGTTTCCCTTCCTACTGAACCGTCTTCCGGTCAAGAAAGGCTTGGGGGAAGAGGGGAACACACAGGCTCCACCCTGTCCGCCTGTGCCTTAGAACGCTCAAAGCCTAGGATATAGGCTCGGCCAATCATCGGACCCCGGGAAAGAGCCTGGCCTTGGAAGAAAATCCGCTAGTCTGGACCGGGGCTAGTTGCCTGCATCGTGGATGCAAACCTCGCCGGACCGCTAGTATCGCTGACCGTATCTGGTATGTACCGACTGTTCGCTCGCGGGTCAAAATTACCGACAGGTACCTCGCCGCGTACGTACCTGATACCTTCCAATGAGAAACATGCGAAATGGGGACAGGAAACGGGAATAGATCTGGAAGCACGGTAGCTGGCCGTTTCTCCTCCAGACGGTGTGGTCGGCCATAACATATTTCGAATACAACCACTGCCTGGAGACAATGGAGTCAGAGCTGAGGCGGATCACAGCAGGGTCACGCCAATACCACAAGCTGTGTGTCTACGTATGGGAGATTCTGTACGACCTGGGGGACTAGCCGATGGAGGGCACTACTTGACTACCTGAAATGATGACTCTTCCTTCGACTACCGAGTTAATCGTTATACTACGATGACTATGTACATTGTTGTTTTCTGCCAAGAGCTGCGTATTCCCCCCCGCCAATCCTAGTACCAACTGGGTAGGAGTCGGGTCTCCAAACAACGGGGGCTGGAATTAAGTTCCTGACAGCTTCGCGTCAGCCTCTGCAACAACATCTCAGACGGCGTGGAACACCGGCGTGAAAACCCAAGGGGACAGACAAAGAACAATGTCAGGCCGACCAGGCAGCACACACCGGAAATTATCAGCAAGGGATGGCCGCGATGCAACAGCCTGAAAGCCTGGCGTTCCCCTTCTGGGCGAGCACGGATCATGCTGAAACTGGCCCAGAGCAAGTCTCCCAGGGTCTGTCTGCCAAGTGCCCATCTGCCATCGGCCATCTGCCTCACTCCGAGCATCTACCGTCCTACGCTCACCTTGCCTACTTAGGCAGTAGGTCTATCGCTGTCACCATGATAAACTTCCTCCCCGCTGTCATTGGATATACTTCAGGCTATCTCTCCTAGGGGAAATAATGAGGACGACGCCACGGTATGCTGGGTGGCTCTGGTGGCTCTGGGCTGCGGCTATTCTACCGATTCGATTGCTGGATGACAGTCGGACGTAAACTCAAATGGACCGGCCCAGCACGCCTCAATCAGTGTCTGAGTTATGCTGGTGCCTTCGGGCTTTGCTCTCCCCACGTGGCGGCTTCATGAGGCCATCTGGGTCGTTGTATTATTGCTCCATCAGTCATGGATCCTGACGAGGGACCAGCGGGATTCGGTCGTCATCCCGTCTTCCCCTCCTTCCGCCCGTCCACCGCAACTAATTATTAATATGATACGATGATAATCAGGAGCTTCGGAGCCAATTAAGCTCATGGCGATCAGTTGGCTGCCCTGCGGCTGCCGGGCGGCCGGCTGGAGCTCTGGGAATGCGTCGATGCGGTGGTGCTGTCGGCAACCAGTCCTCCACCGACAGCGACTTCTCGCAATCGACGGCGACGCATGCACGCAAGTTCAGAAGACACTCCTTGACTATCGTCAGGAGTCCACATGGGCGAGATCTGCCGTTTACGTTATCTAGGATCGCGGACTGCCGTGAGGCTTTAAATCAAAGCCGACTAGCAACAGTGGATCTCAATAGTGGCAGCGGGTCGAACCCATGGAACCACCAGACAAACACAATCGCCGCCCGCTTTTCCTAGTAAACACGGTCCAATGCGCTTAGACTTTGGCCATTCATGGTTTGGACCCTGCGAACCAGAGATCCATCGCGCTTGAAGAACGGCCCCGTACTACAACGATAGTGATTAACAGCTGGTAGTATAGCATCCAACTCTATAGATCACCGTCGGCAGACGATTGAGTTTCATCTGCGTCGATGGGCTTTGTTCTACCAGGCAACTCTGCAATTCCCCTCCCCCCCCTGCCCTCAGTCATTCATTCACTCACCGGGGCGTTTCGGGCTTTGCAACACCGGGATTGCCGATGGCGATGGAGCTTATACCACGCTTGGCTATTGAATGACCCTGAGTCAGGCACAATAGCTCCCCCCCCCCCCCAAGCCACGCCAAGGCCATATCTCCAATTCGAATGGATTACCAAGACCTGGTTATCCACCAGCGTGCGAGACTGCCATGTTCGACTGGTCGGACTGGCTTCCGTCACTTCTTTCTCGTATTGCTTTTTCTCGGCCGGCACTGCTTGGTCTGGGTTGACTCCCGTAGTGGCGCAATGGGCTTGTTCCTAAGGCTCTAGGAGTCGCGCCAGCGATAACCACCGATATTGCACGCGAGTCATCTGGACCTGAGGCCTCCCATCAGCAATGACTTGGTCGTCAGCACACAGGGGCAGGCTGGGTACGTGGAAGCGGATTTCACAGCCCGTCCCCCCGCCCCAACCGGGATTCGTCCTAACCGATCCTGTCCTGGTGAAGGAAGCCCAAGCCGAGCCTGGGGAATGGGTCCCGTTATCATCCGATTATGCTGGATGAAACGTGAGGGTGATGCTGGTCGAGTACCTTGGGGTGGGAATCGGAAATCATGGGGCAGAGGGATCGATACGGATTACCTGGTAATCTACCGAGACCTCCGACATGTACCGGGTACTTACGCGACACCACGCCACGGACAGGGAGGCCCGGTCTAGTGACTGTATCCCCCCAGAAGCCATCCGGAGATGAGGAGCTAGTGGCGGCCCCCATATTTCTGACATACAGGAAGCAGGGTTATCTACTACTATCTACTTTCTAGTCGGGTGCCACGCCCAGAACCTTCCTGGCCGGTCCCGTCAATGAACGCGCGACGGTGACAGTTGGGCACATCACTGGCCATGCAGGAGTGACGCCAGGGCTTGCACCGTGCTGGATGTATGTCGCCGATCCTCGGGGCCCAAAATGTAGACGGCTTCATGGCGTGACTTTCATGTGCTTCAATGGCCGACGGGATGTGGACTACTCTGGCACCCTGACCGCGGAGATTGGGATGGGAGGGATGAGGAGCCCAAGACAAATCAGGGAGCAAGAGCGATGCAAGCCAGGGGCGAGACACCATCAAAGAAAAGCAACCACCGGGCAGGGAGGGCCAGCATGGGATGGCGATAGCTGTGATTCGACTTTCCCTCCACTCTCCTGCTCCGCTTTTTGGGGATCTACCCGGGCCAACTGGCGTGACAGCTAACGAACGAACGGGAAAGGAGGGGAAAAGCATCCGGGATGGAGATAGTGGAGGAAGCATTCGTGCCATACGAATCGGCCATGCATGGGAATCCGTCGATGCTCGACAGGTCCGGTCGATGACGTCGACCGGCTTACAGCTGGCCGTTAACCTGAGACGGCTGTTCCGGTAGCACTGGGGAAGAGTCCCAGGGACCTGGTCAGTGGTTCATCCGTCGCAGTGCCCGTCGCAGGCCGGCGGCATCATGTGTCGGTCTCCGTGTCTCACTTGCTGGACGGGGGTGGGCAACGAACCCCCCGGTCGCAATTGACGTAACGCAGGCCAGGACATCGTCGGAGAGGCACATGGTTAGCCGAGCTCGGCCGTAATTAGATGGGTTCTGACTCCCACCAGGGGCGATGGTGCGCGAGGTGTGATTCGTAATTCGCGATCCGTAAGCTGTATGAGGAGCGAGACGAGGGCGACAAGGTGGGGGGCGCTTTAGGAATTCATGCATGGCCACGCCGCAGCTAAAGAGATAGGCTGGGCGGCCAAATGAGCGGGAGGAAGAGACGAAATGAACCAGGGCGTCTTACAGGCCAGTTAGTTCATCCTTTTGGAAGCTGGTCTGGCTCACTAAGGGACTAGTAGTCGCCGGCCGGGGCGCGCAATTTGTCCGTCGCTTCACCTCGATGGGAACCACAGTCACTAGGAACAGCTAGGGACGGAGGGGACGAGAGTTTCCTGATCCTGGAATGGAACTGGACGGTTGTCAGATGGTCGGGGGGAGGGGGGAAGGGGAGAACATGGGAGGGAAATAGGATCCTCCCACCTTGACTCGCTGTTATCGACACATGCCAGGATCAATTGGTTGCCTTCACCAGTCACCCATCCAGTACCCCGCATTTTGGAGGCCTTGAGCAGATGGTTTGTCGCTGCCAGCACGGCTTGTCACACGCAGTCCGGAGTAGTGTCGCCCCGACAAGCAGCTGTCGAGGGACGGCGATGACGCCGATGCTCCCATTGTCAACTTTTTCTCTTCTCTCTCCGTCTCAACTAGCTCGCTCACTAACGGCCTCATCCACTCACCGGTCATTCATTGCTGCCCATCAGCCCCCCTCTCCAGCCAAGGAATCGCATCCTCTGCGTCTCATGATGGACCGTCACCGCCGCCGCCGTTATCATTGGGAGGGGCGCGGATGACGCGCAGCCGCAGCACCAGCAGCAGCAGCAGAGGTTGGGCGCTAATCCGGCCGGGTGGATGTCGGAAAGAACTTTCGACTGCCAATGCTCTGGTGTCGCGCCGGCGTTTTGGCGGACCTCGACGCTATCTCCGCTTCCCCATCTGAGCGACCGACTAGTCACCACTAACCAAGTAGCCAATTCACACTGTACTTAAGCATGAGGGAAACGGGGCTACGCGAGGTAACACCGGAGCATCCACCAAGCTCCCTCCGAGGCGCGGCTTCCTGACGATGCTAGACATACATGCGTTCGGCACCTCGGACGATAGGCCTCCAGTCTCCAGAAAAATCTCCGATTTGCATGGTCCATGGAGCACCAGGCCAACGCAAGCTATGGCCACGCACGCCTCTGGCTCGAACGGCTGCTCTCGGCCCGGCTCATGGAGGGGAATTAATTTCGTCGCAACATTTGCCAGGCGAATCGCAACGAGCGCTGCCGCAGGCGCAACTGATGATTGCACGGCCAGGATAGCCTTATGGGAAGCCAAGAGGCGGGCATCAATTTGATCAGCCTGCTCCCCTACCCTCCACTTCCTCCAGACCAGGCCAGTCGTAAGCTGGAAATCTCCCAATTGTCGGTGAGTACGCATCACTGGGCCGTCTCCTGCCTCCGTCCCCTTCCTGGAGCTGTTTGGGATCCATTCCATCCCCCTCCCAGCGTCCGTTAGCAAGCGCCGGGTAAGCGTGGGATTCTAGGCCCCCCTTGCAGGTCTCAGCTTCGATACGGTCTGGAATAGGTTATTGCGGATGTCGCCATGGATGGAGGCACTCCCTCGGTGCTACTGCATCGGTTCGCTTGCAGTGAGCGCGTCGCCATCAGATTAGCCCTCGATGATGGTCGTCCTCTTGCTGCTTCCGGCATCTCCTCCTATCGGGCCTGAGGACTGATTGGCCACTGGGCGTGGTATAAACTACCGAGGCCCGTATACGATCTGATTGATCTTTGCCCGAACTTTAATACTGGCAGACGCAGCGTCGGGGTGGCTGTGTCGCATCCTGGCCCTCGTTTCCACCCTGACAGGCTGGGCGCGCCATCAATTCATGTGAGCTCGTCCCAAAACCCAGTTCGATAGATCGCGGGTTGCCAACTGGTGCTGACGGCTTGTGGATTGTCGGCTTGTTCCTTCGACTCGACGCCTCGCCTACCAGATTGGGGAAGTGGCGTTGTCCGTCTCGCAGAATCGGCCGGGGTTGCCTTTTGGATTGTTCTGGATGAGCCGGTCTGCTGTGCAAACATGGATCCAGCTATCCACAGACTCTGACAGCTCGATTACTAGGGTGATATAGACAGCAACTATGCTCTCCATATTGACCGGAAGTGATTCATTACAACGATCGCATAATAGACTCTATAGTCGAAATCCTTTCCCCATCCTCCATCCACCGATCCATCCATCCACCACAGAGCCTCACCATCCGACCCGCTGCACCCCAAACCCAACCCAGGAACCTTCCCACCACCTCCATTCCAGCCCATTTCCCCCTATTCCATGCATTCTCTGCTGCACCAAAACGACCACACATCGCAAAAGACGACACACACATACGCAGCCGAAAACCTTACTCACGCGTCATCCGTCCCCATTTGCTTTCTTTTTTTTTTGCCTCCTCCCTTTAGATTTTGACACTGCGTGCATCTAGCCAGCCAGCCGACTGTAACCGTCGGCAGTCGCCACAGATAACCATCTCTGCGTAAGACCAGCTGTCACTCCTTATCCATCTCGTTGGTGGTTGGATAGGTTTGGGTTATTTTGGGATGACGGTGAGCCGCATGATGAGATGATATAGATATCAGGTGAAGGGAGTACGAGGTGGTGGGGGGGTGGTTGCTTCATGGTTGGTGGGTGGGATGGATTGGGTTTGGATTTGGACTGTGATGGGAGGAGATAGGGGTAGACAATGGAAGGGAAGAGAGAAGGGTATCTGGGAGGTTACCTTTCGGTATCTAGCATCGGTGATGGGATGCTTGGGTAGGTTGTAGGGATGGTTGTTGTAGGTAAGATGGTAGGCTTAATCACGCTGGCATTCACCGGACCAAGGGTGGTGAGATGTAAATGGGGCGTGGGTATACTAAGACAGCACTAACAGTAATGACAGTTGCGAACCGAGCATCATTTTCTTTGTCATGACTAGAATCCGGTGGTCGGAGTATGCTACGACTGTCCACCGCACTATCCATAAATGAAGCTATTCAGATCTAGATAGTATAAGAGCGGATAATTACTAGTGCTGACTGCCCCTGCCCTTAAGTAATCTTCAGGTATGTCGATACCTTGCTTGAACACAAACTCAACCTTCCAATCTTATCAAATCATTCAGCCATCCATCCAAATGCACACAAAGAACACCCATTCTCGCCCAGATCGGTGCCTGGATGCAACCCAGCCCAGTCACCTGATCCTACTGATAGACGACGCCTTACGTAAGCACCCCTTATCGGACAGTTATACAATTTCCAGCCATTCTGCAGCTTCAAGATCCCTCCAATCCAGCACACTCAGACAATTGGACCCTCATTATGGCTGATACCATGCAGGAGAACCCGCAAACTCAGTACTATGTCCTGGTTACGGGCGCAAACAGGTACTTTTCCCTCAATTGACCCAATCCCCATGCTACCACCACCACCACCACCACCACCACCACCACCACCACCACCTCCTCCTCCTCCACCCCCAACATCCCATCCAACTCAACCCAAACTAACACCCAAATTAATCCAGCGGCGTCGGCTTCGACATCTGCAAACGCCTAATCACCGATTTTTTCAAAACCCGCCCAGCTACCCACCACCTAACCATAATCTTCACCACCCGAAGCACCAAAAAAGCCACCGACACCCTCCGCCGTCTCCAAGCCCACCTCCCCTCCACCTCGACCCCCAAAATCACCCTCCACCCCGAAACAGTCGACCTCTCCAACCTCCTCTCCGTCCGCGCCCTCTCCCGCCGTCTCACCACCACAATCCCCCACCTCGACAACATCATCCTCAACGCCGGCATCGGCGGCTGGACAGGCATCAATTGGCTCTCCGCCATCTACGGCGTGCTCACTGATCTCGTTCACCAGGTTACATGGTTCACGCATAAGATTGCCCCCGCGGGGATGGTTACTTCGTCTCAAACGACCATGGTCTCGGGATCTGAGCCTAGATTAGGCGCGATTTTCTGCGCGAATGTCTTTGGTCATTATATGCTATCGCATAACCTTATGCCATTGCTTCATCGGTCCAGACAGCCAGGGAGGGTGATCTGGATGTCCAGTCTCGAGGCGACGATCCAGCATTTTAATGTTGATGATTTGCAAGGGTTGAGAACGACGGTGCCGTATGAGTCGTCTAAAACTTTGACGGATGTTTTGGCCCTCACGGCGGATTTACCTTCTACGAGGCCGTGGGTTGATGGGTATTATGCTGTTAGTTCGACGGGGAGTGTTGTTTCTGAGGATCAAGGTGAGGTGAAAACCTACCTCGCGCACCCCGGTATCTGCGGTACGGGGATCCTGCCCCTTGCGCTGCCGCTCTTCTGGGCGATGATTGCGGCGTTTTGGATGGCGAGGATGCTGGGGTCGCCGTGGCATACGCTGTCGACGTATGGCGGGGCGAGTGCGCCGGTGTGGTTGGCGGTGTCGCGGCAGAAGGAGCTGGATGAGGCGGAGGAGCAGTATCGGGCTCATGGTGGAGGGTGTGTGAAGTGGGGGTCGTCGTGTGATCGGTGGGGAAGGGATCGGGCGGTTTCGACGGAGGTGGATGGTTGGGGACATGGGGGGGTGGTTGGGCAGATGGTGGTGGAGGAGGACCGGTTGCGGAGGAGGAAGCGCGGGATGAAGGATTTGACGGCGGAGGAGAAGGAGGCGTTTGAGGAGTTGGGGAGGAAGTGTTGGAGGCAGATGGAGGAATTGAGGGTGCAGTGGGAGGAGATTTTGGAGAAGGAGGAGAGGGAGAAGGGGGTCAATGTTTAGTTGAGTTGAGAGTAAGATAGTATAGGTGTATCACCAATTGTAGCATAGATATTTTAATGTATATTGTATGATATTTTTGTTTGTCTCCCGTATTTACATTCCTAACCCATGTCCACATACGTCATTAAAATCAGATAGAGTATTAGTCCATGTGCTCACCACCCCGGGGAAACAAGGTGTAGGAAAAGAAAAAGCCTCGCGACAAAATGACGAGAACGTCGGAAAACAGTGCACAAGAAACGGGCACAAGAAACGGTAGTAAAGATCAAACGACTGGTCAGCAGCAACACAGCACGGAAGGATTATAAGGGTTAAAGAAACCCGAATCAGACACGCTTCTACCATCAAGGCCTCTAGCATGCGGACACGGACGAGCACAAGACGAAAGTAAGGACGGGTGCGAGAAGGGAGATGTTTCAAAGGGAGACCGCAACGTATCCAAGCACAGCCCGTGTTCGTGTCCAAAACCCGGGGGTTTCTGCTCAAAGCAGCAGAGGACGCTCAACTCCGGTGGTTATGCTTCTGCGCGGTTTCGAGGTATACGCGGTTTATATCGAGGTGTAAGGGCATGTCGACGTGAGGGATTACATGATGATAGCAGGAACTATACAGATTAGCGACGGTTGCCGAGCTATTCGGGCACGTAACTCACCATCAACGTTCTGCTTGATGCTCTTGTGGGGCAAGATCGATCCACCGTTAACATAGACTTCGTCGGCGATGGTGACATCGTCACCCAGCACCGTAACGTTCTCCAAGCGAGCCCAGCGGCCCACGGAGCTGTTCCATCCAACGATGGTCGACTTGACCCACGCGTGGTCCTTGACCTTGCTGTTCTCCATCAGGACACAGCGCTGCAGACGAACACCGTCTCCAACCACCACATTGGGGCCGATCACGACGTTGGGGCCAATGCGGCAGTTCTTGCCAATCTTGGCCGAGGGGTCGACCATGACATTTCCGCCGTACACGTAAGGCTCGCTGTGGGGGGCGAGCAGCTTCGAGTTGCGCTTGGCGAGAGAGGTGAGGTAGAGGCAGGTACCGCTCAGGAAATCCTTGGGCTGACCGACGTCCATCCAGAAGCCCTCCAGGTCAAAGGAGTGCAGCTGACCGTCCTTGCAAATGGCGGGGAATGTCTCCTGCTCGATGGAGGTGGGGCGCAGCTCGATCCGGTTCAACACGCTGGGGTTCAGGATGTAGATACCCGCGTTGATACGGTTGCCGACGAACTCGACGGGCTTCTCGACGAAGCGGTCGATGCGCGAGGGGTGGTTGGGCTTGTGGACGACAACACCGTACTTGGAGGGCTCGTCGACCTTGGTGACCACAATGGTACCCTCGTTACCGTGGCTCTTGTGGAACTCAGCGAGCTGCTTGAAGGGGTAGTCGCAGATGATGTCGGAGTTCAGAACGAAGAATGGGGTGTCGTCCTTGCCCAGAATCTTCTCCGCCAGCTTCAGAGGACCAGCCGTGCCGAGGGGTTCGGATTCCACAGAGAATTCGATTCTCACATTGTAGATTTCTTCATACTATGGGTGGGTTATGGTGAGCATTCGCCAGGACCATGTGTAGCCAGGGCAATTATACCTTCTTCAGGGTCGAGACCATCACATCTGGGCGGTAGTTGACGGCCAGAACGATATCGGTGACACCAGCAGCAGCCAAGCTCTCGACCTGGTGCAAGATCATGGGCCGGTTGGCGAATTCGACCAGAGGCTTAGGGAGGGTCAGGGTCTAAGGGGCATTGCACCAATTAGCTGGAGCTTCCCACGATCTGTCTGGGATCGATTGGTATGTTCGACGTCACGATCGTCGGCGGGGATCAACTCACCAAAGGACGCAGACGGGTACCGAAACCGCCAACGAGAATGAGGGCTGTCACCGGTCAGCGAGACGGAAAGAGAGGGATATGGAGTGGATTCGCACATACCCTTCATGGTTGCTGTGAGGTGGGATTAATTAAGGGGAAGAGTAGCGATCGGGAGGGGAGGCTTGCTCCAAACGAGTGACGGGAGCAAGAGATGGCCAGGTGGAACAAAAGCCCGCAGAGGGGGATGGTGGAGAGAATGTATAGAAGATGGAGAAGGTCCAACGATCCGAGAGGGATGTTGGAGAGATTAGATTGATCGGTAGGATGGATTGATTGGGATGGTCTCAGACGGGGGAGGAGAAAGGAAAGGAGAAAAATGACGGTAGGATTTAATTATTATAAGAGCGAGCGAGAGAGTGAGAGGAGCGAGTAGGCAGAGGCAGCGAGAGGCAGAAAGAGGAGACGAGGAGACCACCTGGCGTTGCGATTGATTCGGGGAGGGCGGGCCGTAATGGCTGTGTATGTACGGGCCGGTAATGTTGAACCCACGAGCAAAGACACCAGAGTGGCAGAGGGGACCCCCCTTAACGTTGCGAAGGCTGTGACAGCCTTGTGAGGAGCAAGAGTAGGAGATGGAGGGACCACCAGGAACATCGCCCCAGAGCCACTCAGCATCGTCGATGGGGGGAGATGCACGTTTGCGGCCGCGCCACAGCTGGAAATTCTCGACCGGTAAGGGAATAGTCCGTATCGTACGGCCTAGAACCAGCTAATCACTACGGCGGGATCAGGTGCACCGTGGGGCAACACCCCTGAATTACAGGCCCATTATGTAGTCCTCATCTTATTCTTCCTGTCTGGAGCGAGAGGATCAGGATGTGCAAAGTGCATCTGCACAGGAGCGTAATGAGTAGATCCATCTAGAGAAGTGAGCATTGTGTAGATACTCCCTACAGACTCAATAGATACTGCAGCAAAACCTGCAGAACCTCCAGCTGCAAAAAGTACCCTCCAATAGGAGGTTGGCCTCATACTTGGCCACGATGGCGTTCAACTGTCGGGTTGCATCCCCTCCTTAGCACGACGTAGTACCTACCTTAGCCGGTCACCCTTAGTCGATGCAGGAGGGATAAGCATCAATTTTCCTCAGTGTCTCCTGGTCAGCCACTGGATTTTTCTTGCTGCCGCCCTTTCCTGGTGTTCCCGGCAGCTGGGTCACGGGCAAAGGCTTGTGGCAGGTTTCAAGAACACCTCCGCACTGTAAGTTTAAAAAGTACAAAGGGAACCACAGATGTAGATAGTCATTCCTTACTGCGGGCTATATATAACCATTCAGCCACTCACTCCTGCGTGTCCGGGGGCAAGATGCCCCTTCCAGCCAGGCCACGTGTGGAAGGCCCGTCACCGCCTGCGGTATCCGGCGCAAATCTCCTGATCCACTCGCGCACCTTGCTCACCTTCACCAGCGGCAGATCTTCGTTTCTCTTGGCTACAGGGTCCTGCTGGAAATCCCGGAGTCGCTTTGCGCTGTAAAGCCCGCCTGCATCGGTTACGTCGACCCGCTGGCGGTGCAGCAGGTCAACCTTCGTGATCCCCTTCCGAAGACTCTGCCCGTACACCCGTTCCCGGAAGGAGCTCAGTCCTACCATCCGCAACAGAACAATGTCCCGTGGACGCAGTGTCGCCAGCGACTTGCCCAGTGCGTCTCCAAGGCCTTCATCGTCACCGTGCCCTGTGGTGATCGCATGATTCGCAGGAGGGAGCCAGAACGTAACCCCAAACCCACTTCTTGTATCATCCCCCATCACCACCTCAATCAGGTCCAGCTCTTGCCGCCACTGCCGTGTTACAACCCGGCGTGGAGGGTGGATGGCGATAATCGCCACAATGAGATTTACCGTCATCGTCTGCGGCACGATGGATTTCAGGTATGCGACAGTGGGAATATCCCGGAGATCGGTGAGAGGCCCTTGGATCGGTAACCCGGGGGGCAGGCCGTCTTTCTCGCTGGTTGTCGCAAAAGAGGTTCCAAAGCTTTCAGCCCATCCACCGCTGCCTTGCATGGAGTCGCCAGAGTGAAACCCCGGCGTCGAGATCTCGGAGGTTTCATGAACGGTAAAGGAATGGTTGTAGAACTGAGAGAGCGCTGAACTCTCCGAGACCATCTTCGAGTCCCCATCAGGGATTGCAAGGTCCCGCGTGGTAAAGAAGCGGGCATCTCGACCTGGTTCCCACTCGTAGATCTCAGGGAGAAATTCCGTTGCGCGCAAATCCTGCAGTAACCTCCATTTTACAGACTGGGTAGCTGGAAGAGGCCAGTGGCTTTCATCCTGCATGTCCAAACTATGAAATGGAGATATCGGTGCGTCAAGCAACTCATCCTCATTCCACTGGAGGCTTCGCGACGTGGGCGCGCCCATGAGGAAAATGACCTTTTTGGACGTCATCGGTGTCGAATCACAGGGATCAGGCCACGGAACATATTATTCGAGCAGTGTGTCGTTCGTTGCGAAGGGCCGTCTATATCCTCGGAGGTCAAGGATAGAGCTTCGATGCAGAAACGCCAAGAGAGGAAGGCGCATTGAGGTGTCGAACCACCGCTGTATCGCGAACACACTTGGCACATGTGGCCAGTTATATTGCCTGGGACAAAGAAGGACAGTCCTCTTCGTAATTGAGGTCTATGATGTTCTAGTCATCGGTGTCCGATCTGAACCACGGGTTGTAGACGGGCAACGACTCATGTTGTACGGTACAACGGATACGGTATGGTAAGTGGTCGGGCAGTCGTCGTCATGGCAAAAGTACGATGGAGAAAGTCATGGCGCATGTAAGTCTGATATGACCGCATCGACCCCGCGGAGTGAGGAAGCCCTGAAGGTGGTGATGGTGGTGGTGCTGCCTTCTAAAAGCCATCCATTGGGCGGGGAAAGTCGGGGAACGGCGTGGAATCCGCGGCCAGTGCCTGAGGCAGGGGGACCAGCCGCTACGGGGGGCGACAGCCGCCGCCCAAGCACCGGGTCGGCAGTCGAATTTCGCCGCCGAGCGACGACCAGCCAGGCATCGTCATTGGATTGGCCTCTCTCCTCTCCTCTCCTTCCATCGAACTGTCGTCTGGTTGTGGTCGGGGATGGCATATATCACAACTAAGGATTGATCCTACCATCATCATTACTGTTCCTCTCCCTCCTTCTATCTCGCCAAAGGGTTACTATTATCACCGTCGCGGCCAAGTGCCGCTCTAGTTCGGACAACCATGGCCTTCCAAGTCTCGATCCCCAGGCCGGTAAGTCTCGCTATCTGCACCCGCAGATTCGATTCCGCTGACGGTTGCCTCGCGCGCGGTAGAGCCTTGCGGCTGTGACCTCGGATCTCTGGCCTTCAATGTCAAACCTGTTGAATGCGCCCCGAAACAACGTTGAATACACCTCCCGCTCCGGATATGCCGCCCCTCAGTCATCCCAACGCGCCGTTGCGGAGGCGACCTCCACCGTATGTCTTCCTTCGCCGGCTAGTCTGATAGTGGTGGAAAATGTGCTAATGTGCGCGTAGGGCGTGGGCGCTGTCTTGTTGCCGGAATATCTGACCTCTGTGTCCTCCGAGACTTTGAAGGCAAGCATCTTGGGCAAGCCTGTCCAAAGCGGATGGGCTCGGTCCTTGTTCAATGGTACTCTTATCCATTCTCACCTTGCGAATTTATCTGAGATTTTGGGCTAACTGTATCCCAATCTTTAGAACCTACGATGTGGACTTCGCCGTCTCTTGCTACCCGTCATCTTGCCTCGCCCACTGCTCGTTCTTACTCCACGTTATCCATGTCTCTAAATCGTCTTCGCCCCGCTCCCAAGGTGGAAGGTCTCTCACGGTTCCAGCAACAACGGTTCCTGTTTGGTGGCTCCTCTCACAATCTGCTGGCGCAGAAGGAGAAAACTGCGAACAACAATGCTAGCAGCGCCAACGCTCAGAACGCTTTCTATCAGGCCCTCCTCCGTGCAAATCTCCCTGCGATTGTTGTTGAACGGTATAGAAGCGGACATTTTGCCACCAATGCAACTACGGATGAAATCTATATGAAAGCCTTGCAACGCGTCGGGGGAGCGGATCCTGCGGTGGCGGTTTCAGCGCCCGGCCAGGGCGTCAGCCCTGAGCGGCTGCAAGCCATCGGTCAGGCTGTCGCAACCCAGTTTCACGGTGGGCAATTCGGTTCTTCGACACAGTACGGATCAGCTGTCAAGCAAACCGGCAGTGGGGGTAAAGAGGATCCTTTGCACGTGGTTGTGGAGGAATCCACCGGAAGCGCCGTCTTTAGATGGGTCAAGTTCCTCTTCTACTTCGCTTTCTTTGCCTACTTGTCTCTGGTTATGATCACGATCTTGGTTGAAACGACCGGCGCCCTGAAGAACATTAGGGGCCCGCAGAACAGCGAAGCTCAGCCTCAGCAACAAACCGTCCGTTTCAGTGATGTCCATGGCTGCGACGAAGCCAAGGAGGAGCTCCAGGAACTTGTTGAGTTCCTGACAAACCCTGACCGGTTCTCCTCGCTTGGTGGTAAGCTGCCCAAGGGTGTTCTCCTGGTTGGTCCTCCTGGTACCGGAAAGACTTTGCTCGCTCGGGCTGTTGCCGGAGAGGCTGGCGTTCCTTTCTTCTACATGTCCGGCTCGGAATTCGACGAGGTTTACGTGGGTGTTGGTGCCAAGCGTGTTCGTGAACTGTTCACTCAAGCCCGGAGCAAGTCGCCTGCCATTATCTTCATTGATGAATTGGATGCCATTGGGGCGAAGAGAAACGAGAGGGATGCTGCTTACGTGAAGCAAACCTTGAACCAACTGCTTACTGAACTCGACGGCTTCTCGCAAAGCAGCGGAGTGATCATCATTGCCGCAACCAACTACCCTCAACTCCTGGACAAGGCTCTGACGCGTCCCGGTCGCTTCGACCGCAAGGTGACTGTTGGCCTTCCTGACGTCCGTGGCCGTATGGATATTCTCCGGCACCACATGAAGGACGTCCAGATCAGCATGGATGTCGATGTTGCGGTTATTGCTCGTGGTACCCCTGGTTTCTCTGGCGCTGATTTGGAAAACCTCGTTAACCAGGCTGCCATCTACGCCAGCCGAAACAAGTCAACAAAGGTTGGACCGAAGGACTTTGACTGGGCCAAGGACAAAATCATGATGGGTGCCGAGGCTCGCAGCCGTATCATCCAGGATAAGGATAAACTCCTCACTGCTTACCACGAGGCCGGTCATGCTCTTGTTGCATACTTCTCTCCTTCGTCTACACCTCTGTACAAGATTACCATTGTTCCTCGCGGCATGGCCCTTGGTGTCACGCACTTCTTGCCTGAGATGGACATGGTGTCAAGAAACTACACTGAGTACCTTTCAGATATCGATGTTTCCATGGGTGGTAAGGCTGCTGAGGAGCTTGTGTTCGGTCCCGACAAAGTCACCAGTGGTATCTCGGCGGTACGTCCATTTGCCCAGTATTATACCGAATCAGTCACTAACGAGCCATAGGACATTCAACAAGCCACCGAAACCGCCTTCACCTTGATCACGCGCTTCGGTTACTCCAAGAAGCTGGGAAATGTCGACCTGTCAACCAACTATGACAGCCTGTCGTCAGAAACCAAGCAGGAGATTGAATCCGAAGTCCGGCGTCTGGTTGAGGAGGCCCGAGTCCGCGCCACCAACATCTTGACCGAGAAGCGGAACGAGCTAGAGATCCTGACCAAGGCTCTGATTGAATATGAGACTTTGACAAAGGAGGAGATGGAGCAGGTTCTGCGGGGCGAGAAGCTCGAAAAGTTGGGGTCAGCCCCAGCAGCGCCGCTCAAGTTGCCTGAAGCCCTACAGACGGCCAGGTTGACACCGCCTTCTTTGCCTAATGGGCGATCCGTCCAGGAATGAGTCGCCCTTGATTTTCTTATTTATTTAACGATGATCGCATTTATTACAGCTACAATATCATAGGAATGTTCTGCTATTCACTCCCCTCCTTGTTTGTCTTCTCACGCGTTAACTGTATCAAAGAAAGGACTTGCCTAAGTATCTATCTCCCCAGATCAATCCCCAAGTCATGGGCCATTTTGATCTTTTGATCAAAGCTTGTTCAAGCCATTTGCTCTTTCTATACATCTTGGCCCATTTTCTTCCCCCTTCATCACTACTTATCTTTCTTTCCTACCCCAATTCCCTTTCTTATCCTTGTATTCATCTCACTTGGTTCCTCTTTTTCTGTCATTTTTCCCCCTTTTCTCCTCTGATCCGAGCTATCGGCTCAAAAACTGAGCGAGGTCAGGTCGCATACAGGTGAATTTGGCTGTACGGTATTGCATTGTATTGTATTGTCTTGTCGTGGTGTACATACGTACATATAGCGTGCATCGAACTCGATAAACTTGCAAGTAACATCATGAGTATCTTAGTGAAGCCTGAAATTTCAACCAGATGTCTGAGGGAGGCTGAAGATCCAGTTCATTGGTATTCAGTATTCCAATTGTTACCTCACTTATTAATTTATACTCTGGCTGCTATTATTCACACGCAGCGATAGTTCTTCCAGTTGTTTTAGAACTACTAGTTCTGTACTGAGGGTGGTTCGTGACAGGGGGTATCGGAAGACGGTTACTATATATATATTTCACCGTCGGTCCCATGACCTGGTCAAGCACAAGACCTGAAATAGAACTTACACATACGTACTATTATAAGTTCTTTGTCCGTGTAATATTACTTACTCACTACTCTAGCAGTACTATATAAAATGCTCCTTTGTCTATAACTAGTGATAGTATGGACCCATTGGGTGCATGCTTAAACAATTCCTGATGCGGAGATCATATGCGCTTTGACAAAATCTGTGCTTTCTGCGTGCCGAAGAATGATATAGACTCCCAGAGCCAAGCAATACCCATTAGGGTTCGGGGGGTGGCGGAGAAGATTAATTAGAAACATTAAAGAACCACTGCGTGGCGGAACGGATAATGTATGTACACTAACAAACAACATCAGGAAAATCAAGGAGCATGACGACTAAGTAAGAACTCGCTCAATTGGCAGTGGCAGGAAAGGAAGAAAAGAAGAGCAGTGAAACATGATAGTCATGTGCGCTATCATTTCAATTTTGCCATTCACCATCCACCAAACATGTCATGTCGTAACGGTTTTTAGCCAATCCCGCTGGGAAAATTTCACGCAACCACCCCCCTGACATAACATCTTTAAGAGAAACAGAAAATATGCTCTTAGCTGCGAGAGTTGTACTTCTCATTGAAAGCGTTCACGGCTATGGAAAGGTTAGCATCGTGACTAAAAGTTCCAAAGTTGGTATGATTCAACTTACCAATTGCTATCTGCCGGTATAGCCAGTTCCTGGAGCTTTCATCCTGGACCGGGATGAAGGGGCCATTGGCACCACCCTTGAGCGTGATGCTCATACCGGTGCGCTCCTTGGAAATGGTTTGGATGTCTGTCAGTCGCATGTCCCATTCCGTTCGGAGCTTCTTGGTGCGCACGAGAATAATCCGATCGTACGTCAACATGACCAGCATGTCTCGGCCCGGAAGTTCCAGATGTGCAATATAATCCTCGTTGAAATATTTTCCGTCATCAGTGGTCTTCAACCAGAATTGTCCCAATGCTTCGCGCTGCGAGTAGGGCCGCACGATACCATCAGTAGCGATGAAGCGGGTGAGGCGAACACGATCGAGTCCCTCGGCATCAAACACAGTGGTGGTGTTTCGTACACCCTCAGCCAGATCTATTCTTGAGTCAGCAATTGTGTCCTCATCGGAAACCAGTCAATAACTCACTTGAGGCAAGGTCGAAGGCGCCTATCGCAGGTTTAGTGGCCAAACCCAGAACACCCTTTCCAACGCCCTTGAAGAACCCTTGGATGCCTTCCTTTTCGGCACCTTGCAGTGGATGGCGAGCAAGTCCCCCGATACCGCTTGCGAGACTGCTTGCGAAAGCATTACCACCCGCAGTGATACCATACAGGGCGTGCTTTGGCCGGTTCCGAGACTTTGACATTCGTCGCTGGTCTTGGAATTCTTTGTCAAGTGTAGCAGCAGCAAGACCCTTGGACATACTTCCAGTAAGCTTAGCCATACTGTCAGAGAAACCAAATACGGACTTCTTCACGAAGCTCGTGGCACCCTTTGCAATACCGTAGCCCAGCTCCTGGGGCCTATCGGTCATCACCAGACCCTGGTATGGCTCGTAGAAGATCGCAGCCACACCAGAGCTGACATTGTTGAACAACCCAACAGGGTTACCCAGGAAATCCGCTGAACCGAGGACAACATGCACTTGGCGAAGGAATTCTTGCGTGTAGTGCCTCTGAATGTTGCTGGCAAGCACCCCGAAAGAGACTCGGGCATTCTCCAACATGAGGGCGTTTAGACGCACCGGAGCGTCATTGACATTGCCCATCGACATTGTCATAACATGAACAAAGAACATCAGAGGGTTGGACGGTTGTAGAGCATCATCGGCGTTCACACGCTCGGTACGCATGAAAGAGATATCAAGCTGCATAGGTTGCAAGTGAAGGAGCTCGAAGTATACGTCTTGTGCAACGCCTTCATTCTGCGGCTCTGGAATGTTCAAATCGTCATCGCAGAGCTTCCCTTCGTGCTCCTCCGACCATGAGGCACCAGGTACCTTGACGAAGTCTAGCATTGCGACGATGAAGTCTTCGTCAAGCTCCAGCGTCATCTGCTGCAGAAGCACAGTGGCATACTTGATATAAAGGACACCATAAGAGTCGTCCTTCACGCGCGTGACCATTGCATGGAAGATCGGGTGCGCCTCCATTTCCTTTCCGGTCTTCGGGACAACGCTGGGGTAGAGCAAAATCGGGAAAATCCCTCCGTAGAGCTGGTTATCGATCTGAATCCACTTAATGGTTGTGTTCAAGGTCTGGTAAACCCTCGATTCCCTAAATTTAATCTCAATATCGCGGAAAGTTAGGTAGAGCAGCTCCTTCAAGTTCTGGTTGATCAAAGAAATGCCTATGCCACCGAGGCGAAGCTGGGCCTTGAAGTTGACGTCTGAGTCCAGTTCTTTGACCTCGAAGCCAGTGCTCAAGCTGCTTTGTGAGGCTTGCCCTTGACCCTTCTGCTTGTAGATACTCTTGGAAGCCTTGAAATTAGACAGGACTAGAGTCTGGGTTGGACCATCTGCAACAATGTTGATATCAATGATCTTTTGTGTTTCCCCGTACTGAGTTGGGGGGATCCTCATCGGTATCAGATTTCCAATTTCAGCAAGCTTGATGTGCCTCTCCTTTCCTTTACAGGTCAGTACAAGAGACTTGTTCTTTGTAGCCGGATAGTCCCAGGCATATGGCATGATGCTACGGGGAGGAAGACGGTAACGAATGGGTCGCCAGCCATTTGACCTGTCTTCTTCATCATCTTCTAGGTTCGGGTTCTATGGCTCGGTTAGCAATGCATCATTCGCGGTATAGATAGTGCACTCACGGCTTGGTAGAAGATGTACTCCATGTCACTCTCGTTCCGCATAGAAAATGGCCAGTGGCGAGGCTCGAAGCTGAAATGAATGAACAAGGTTGCCCCTTCCATGATAACATCAACCTTTATAAGCCTTTGGCGTTGGTTTGCCTTGGCGAGCTTAACATGCACTGTCCCAATATCGGCGATGTTAAAGGGCGATGACCATTGGTTGTTGACGCCCGGGAAGCAGAGACAGAGCTGCTTTTCTGCAACCTGGCGTAAGAAATGTAAAGGTATCAGGTCACCGCCCTTGATTTGCAGAACATTTGATGAGCCGGGCTCTCGGACTAGAATGTCCTCGTTGAGTTTGTTCTTCAAGATGAAGCGCGGCGCGATTGTCACAACCTTGGTCATTTTATATTTGCCTTCGCCTTCAGCGACAGACACTCCGGAATGGAACTCGGATCTGCCATTCCTGTCCGCGAGAACAACCTCAAATGTGCTTCCAATAGCTTCAAAACTCTGAGGCTTGCTCCAAGCAGAATCACCGATTCTCAACATAGATCGGTTTTTCTGATCATCCGTTGGATAAGAGTACATGTATGGAAGCGCCCTTCCACCGTGCCTCGGATCAGCCATCAGCCCCTGGCCAGCCGCCGATCGGGCTGACTGCAAAAAGGCCTTGCTTTGGATTTCCATAGGAAGTCCCGTCTTGTTCAAAACGAGGTAAGGGCTGTAGACAGAAATCTTGAAAGCCCCACCGCTGTCAGGCACATTGAAGTAATGGAGCTTCAGTCTAAGCTGAATGCCTCGTTCATCCTTCAATGAAAGCACATGCTCCCTTCTATAGTCCTGAGAGTTGCCGTTGATGATCGCAAAGTCGCTTTGTTTAAACACGGTGTCCTCCAAGTCGACGCTGAGGAGCAGTAGGTGAGAAAGCTCAACGACATGAACAGGGCTTACTCCGCCTTTGCGCAGGAAATTGGTCCAGTCCTTCTTTGTGTTCTTGTCGTATATGCGATACTTGAAGTCGTAAGGGAGGAGATTCTGGATTTCAACTGGAGCAAAGATCCGGACCCGCATGTAAGGATAGACACTGGCCAGTTTGTCTCGGGCGTTGAAGGCAGCGTGCAATTGAAAATAGAAAGGAGGAGCTTGTTGTCCGCTTTCACTTATGCACTTGATCGTCCGAGTCGGCCGACGCATGAGGTCTTTCCAGTGCAATTGCTCGCGAGACCAATCATAGCCAAAGCCCTGGTCAGGACGAATAACAAGGGAATGCATATAGGCCGCTCCAACAGGTGCAGGTCGGGAATCACCAGGAAGGATCTTCTCAATCTTCAGAAGGTGGCCATCGTTGGGGTTGAACACGCCCAATTCCACAGGTATTTGCGTACTGTTCTCGACGACGAGTGGCGAGCGGAAGGTGATATACTTGACATTGTCGGG